AAAGTCAATATACTAAAGCAATCCTTACCGGACTTGATCCAATGCTGTGGCAAACTCCTCGACCATCCGATCATTCTCTTGTTCCAAGGCCTGCCTTTGCTCCGTAGTCAGTCCATCATCCCCTGTTGCACCAATATCCGCTGATTCCTCCGAGTGCAGATCCATGGCCGAGATGCTAGGATTGATTCGGCTGGGAAAGTAATAGAAGGGTCATCTTCAGCCTGAGTAGGACATTGACAGAGAAAAGGCATTTCCCTTACCTCTTTTGTCGTTCCATCTGTCTCTCCAAGCGCGCTTCCTGCATTTGCCTCTGTTGCTGGCCAAGCTGAGTAAGCCATGTATTAAGGGTAAGGGTTATGGAAGCTCGGTGGGCCCGCTCCACATCCTGCTGCTTCCTTCCCGGATCCTCAGTTCCATCGTCCATGAGAATACTGTACATCAGGCTCCCCATGGCGCCCGTTCCCTTTGCACTGGCTATAATGATTAGGAGGTGTTGTTATTAGAGAGAGAAGGATGCATACGACCTAGTCAGCTCTCCTCTCTTACCCTCAACAATGGCCTCTAGGCCCCGGATACGTTGAGAGCAGCTAGCGATGATCTCTCGTGCTTGTCGATCAAGCTCATTCCGTTCCCGCTCCGTCATGCTCGATACTCCTCCGATTCCTTTGCCCCCAGTCCTTCCTGGCCTGGCCAGATAAGCCTTCCGGGACTGGGAAAGGAGCGTACGCAAAGTACGGATATGATGATACTGTGTGTTCAGGAGACGTAGGATAGGCTAGGTTAGCTGACAGAGGAGCAGGGATACGGATGGTGACACTCACGATACGATAGGCCTCTTGCGTAAAGGCTTCAGTGGGCGCCCATGGCTGAGGTGTATTTTGAGGCCTTCCTAGTTCCTTTCCTTTCTCCTGAACTAGGTCACGAAAGCATCTGGTTCTGTCCATGGATTGGGTTAGATTGTGAGATAAAGAACGGGGCAGGGGATGGGATAAAGATGGGACGGAGAACAGGAAGAGATGAGAAAAGTGCGCGTGAAAGTAGCCTTCATTCCTAGTCCGCTGTTTTGAACCACTCCTTCAAAGCACTCTCTTCCATACGCATGTCCATATGTCGTCGTGGTACGAGGAGACGGAGTTTGAATGTCCTTGAGGTCATCTAAAGCAACTGTTCATGCTCTCTTCGATTACATAAAATGTTCCGTTTTAAGTAGTGGTAAAGCCATTATGTTTTCCCAGGTAGGATAGGCTGATGGATATTCAAATGTAATATTCGCCCTTAAGCCAGCCTGCAATGTCCCTTTTTAAGGTATGATAGTAAAGTGTCGCTGATGATCAATAATTAAGCAGCAATCCTAATAGGTATATTTAGCTTTAGAAGTTAAAAAGCCTTCAATTGGGCATTATCACCAAACTCTTATAGAGCATTCAGCGAAAAAGATAACAGCATTATCATGGTAATTGGATCATGTTTAAATGGCAAAAATTGCTGATATTTGAATAATGTAATGGTCCCTGTGAATCTAGATCAATCCAAGATTGGTTTGTTCACCGCCGTTCTAGGTATCTCCACCAATGGCCACGCAGGTCCTCTCAGTAAGGACCGCTCAAGACAGGTACCATTCACAATGTGGGAGGGGCAATTCGTGTAAAGTCCGATGATGAGGATTGGTGAATACGTCAAGCAAATACGGAACGAATGGTGTGGGAGGAGCAGGAGGTTTGGAAAGAACGAACACGACTCTGTGAGTAGCAGGTAATGATCAAGTAAGGCAAGTGCCCGATTATTTCTGGGTGAGGGGCCTTGATCAAAGGCTCTACCTATCATCGTCCCTCTCGAGGGCCTTGGCGCGCGACGATCCCATCCTGTGAAATATGCAGCCATCGCTTCATCGCTTTCCATTTCTTTCTCTTCTTCTTTCCTTCCTCTCTTCCCTCCATTCCCCTTTTCCCTCACACTCCATATATCCTTTTCCTACTACCCTATAATCACCACTATCCATTAACCTTGCATCACTCGTTCTTTGACCTTTGGACCCTCTTTTTGCTCTATATCTGACCCCCTTTTCCCGATGTACTCGCTCAGCATGGTATCCGTCACTGTCTGTCTTCTTTCCCTAGTACTTACCTTGTCCACTGACCTGGCAGTACAGGCTGCCCCTTGGACTTATCACCCTTATCTTGGGGCAACCACAATCAACAACGGCGCTCCTATCTACCTATCCGGGACTTTGGGCACTACCTCGTCCAGTAAAACTCCCACTGCAAGCGGGAAGCACTAATGGTTGAGATTAAGAGTAATTCATGGAGCTTGGTGACCGTCCTGCATAATTATATTCATCCTTTTCCCGGGGGCAATGAGATCTAATCTGGTGGACCTAGTCATCCTTATTTCCTGTTCTTCCATAGTCTCTACCCATTATAATTACATTGAAAAGGGCATTGTCGCTCGGTTCACCAAATCGTCATTTAATAAAACGTATCTGGCTCCTCTATTTATACCATCATCTAAACTGGATCATTTATTTCTCACGTGTCGCGGAAAGGGTAGAGATGGGAATATATGTTCTTTTCCATTCATAAACTTGGTATCTCCCAGGAAGGGAAAAGAGCATAGACGATAACCTGCGGAGGAAGATAAAAGTCTTTTTATTTCCCTGAATTGATAAAAGATGGCATCCAAGCTCGTCTACCTGTCATCCTCCGAGGCTAGTGGTATGTCTGATACCAGAAGGTCCCCCAGCAGCTTGTCCGACTGCAGCATGAATGAAGGAAGGGATGTACCATTGGACGACCAGCTATCGGATACCAGTCGGACCGATTCGGACTATGAATTGATCAATGCCCTCATTGAGCATTAGACACTGCAGTGTCGGAAGTGCTTCAGACCAACATGTGTTCGGCAAGTCCGTGTCATGGGGCGGGCCCTGAATTCTCACTTGTATTTGCCAAAGGCTTCATTCTTGAGCTGACTAAAGACTGTCGGCTTTAGAAGGAGAAAATATGAAGACTACCACCCTTGAATGCATATAAAGCCTCAGTCTATACCCTTTTCTTACTTCTCTTCTTCCCTTCCCTCCCTCCTCCTCTCTCCTTCCATTTCTAGCTATTCCTAACGAACCACTTTCTTTCTACCGCTCACTGCAAATACTCAGCATACCGACTCAGCAATACCGACTCTCATGGTTTTTTCAACCATTCTCTCTGCCTCTGGCTCTTTCCCCTCGAGCTCCATCTTTCATACCGCCCTCCTCCTTCTCCTCCTAGGCCCATCAATCCTCCATCAACTATTCCAGAATGCCGTCGTAGAGGCCCGTCCTTCAGGACACGTCGGGCGGATTTCCGAAGTACTGCAAAAAGCATTCTACTTGCGGCAAGTTCAGTGTAGTGAGCTTACAAGTAACTATGCTCTCAATAGCAATGAGCGCTTACCACCTCTTTTCCCCTCGGTGGATGAGGCCTTTAAAAAGTGGCCCATAGTGGGCTATCCTGCTTGGGGTAAATTCGCCCTCAGGGCCTTCCTCCAGGCCATTAACCTGGAAAAGGCTAAGCATGATAAAAAATCTCGTGCCCATGGAAAGACGGATGACGACCCTGATACTATTTTGGCATTTTTCCAGACATCTACGGGGCGGCAAGCCCCTATGACCATTGACCCCTCGAATAGTATGCACGATAATGTGATCAAAGGTCGATGGTTTTTTAGCGCATTAACTTCCCAGTCTACCAAAGTCTCCCTTCATTTCATTCGCAAGACCGGTATTATTGGACAGGATCGTACTATCCGTGATATAAAGAAGACCATCGAAGCCTTTGTCGCGTCTCCCAATAGTGTCCTTCAACTTCTTGATGTGTACGTCACGCATCCTACTCACTGGATCCTCGTGACACCCCGTGTGTCCTTTCCCCTTTCCAGGCTTCTCAAGGAACCAAAGCTGATTAAATTATGGGGGTCCTCCCTACAACCCGAGAACCCCATTCCAGAATGGGTGATCCGTGATATTTTCATCGCTGTTATCCACGCCGCTCAAGAGCTACACTCCATGCGTATTGTTCATCGAAATCTTCAGCCTGAGAGTATTTTTTGCCTCAAGACCCCAACGACTCCTTGTAATCCAAAATTTTCTAGGTTTTCTTTCGCTAAAGGAAGCGAGGATAGTATGCAAGAAGCGCTTGGTGTATCAAATCGTCGATACCTGCCTCTAGGCGCCAAAGATGAAGCCGTCTCCAAACTCAAGGAGCGACACTACCAAAGGGCCGATATTCGCTTCATCGTACTCTCCATCTACGACCTTTTCGATACCCCAAATCCCAAGCGCCCGGGAAAAGATAGGGCTAGTTACTTTGACCGAAAATGGGATATAAAAAATTCCCTTGATCGTCCCGTTTCCCCGACCATCCATTCTCTCCTGGAAAAGGTCCTTCCCCAAGAACGTTGGATCGAAGACCCGATGAGTATGGATGACCTTGTCGCTGTCGCCAATCAATGGAAGAAGGAGCCCCTAGGCCATTGATAATGGGGATACAAGTGATGGCTTGAGGGTATTTTTCTCAAGTGACAACAAATCAGCAAATACGACAGTGCTCTCACGTATTCTCGATGACCCTTTTTGATTATACTTTTTGGCATCTAGGATGGAAATCTCCTTTTTTTCTTGAAATATGACTGTGGGGCCATTGACTCGATAGGAGCCAAGGTCCATTGGAATATTTGTCTTCCTAACAATACACTCGAGTAGACATATAAAAGGAGAAGTGGGTAGAAGAGACCTTTATTCCACAGTCGTAACCTGTCCTCACACCAACACACACCACATATCCCAGAGTCTGGTACCAGTCTAGTACCGGTCTCCATAGGGATGACCAAAGATTACCACAATGACTCTATTTCAATTTATAATATATATAACGTATAATGAAAAACATCATATTCCCTTAACAACATAAAGAAATATGTACCTATATAAGGGCCTGTTGCATCTTTTTTTCTTGTGCATATATTTAGCCTGGTTGGCCGAGTGGTCTAAGGCGGCGGACTTAAGACCCGCTCTCGAAAGAGGCGTGGGTTCGAACCCCACACCAGGCAAACTTTGCACTTCTTCTCTTTTTCGTGTGGCACAGTAAGTTCTAGGTAAATCACACCATCTTCATTTTATCTATATCATAACAATAGTATCATTACTATTGATGATGAAGAACTTTCAAGACAGTATACAACGTTTCGGCAAAGGTTGATTAGGATTGGCCGTAGATCGCTGATAACAACACGGGTTGTTAATAGCATGGGATACACGTCTTTGTGTCATGTCATACGTATTTTGGTCTATCTATCATATCAGGCAGGGAAGTCATGGTTGGAAAGATAGTCTTGCCAAGACACCCTCCTAGCGATCCTCAAAGCCGACAAAAGTAGAGAATCGATGACGAACCATGGTCCCCTCTGAAGATATGACTCTTAAAAATAGACAGCAAATGTGTATATACTTGTGCGCATTTTAATTTTAGTGGCCAATTGGCTCTAAAAGAAAAGGAGGAGAGGAGAGAACGACTGTCCTGCACAGTGTGGGAGTATGGGATGACCTTGGTTAATCACACCCAATCACAGAATGTGTCGTTCAGGTCAGCTTTACCATCCCACCTACTCCGACGCTCCAGATCACAG